TCTCCCCATGGCATTTGCCGGAAGCTCGGTTCTACTGTCACCCTGTTCTCAGCCCAATAGCATGAAGCTCCCGGCATCCAGAACTGTGAGAGAACAAGCTTCTGCTGTTTTGAGCCACCCAGTGTGTGGCCACGGCAACCACAGGAAGCTGATAAAGTACTGAGAGACCGAAATCTGCAAGGGTTAGAGGGAGCAACAACTGGAGAGAAGCTGGGACTTCTAGAAGCACTGGAGAAGCTCTGTCTCCAGATTATGGTAGTATACAGGTATGCACACCAACCAAAACTCACATGAGGTACATGTAGCTCTGTGCAGGTCTCAGATGGAAAACATGTATGTGTATAGGGGTGTATGTGTGTGTGTGTGTGTGTGTGTGTGTGTGTGTGGTGTGTGGTGTGTGGTGTGTGTGGTGTGTGTGGTGTGTGTGTGGTGTGTGTGTGGTGTGTGTTTAATCTGAGCCCCTGAATTTCCTAAGACCTCATGCCTCCCTAGAAACCAAAACAGTCTCAACTCACACCCCTAATACAAGGCGTACTTGCTGTTCAAGGGGTGGGGCCATTAAGCACACCTGCTCAATGACCTGTTCCCACTTGACTGGCTCCTAGGTATAGGAAATCTTGGCTTTCTCAACTGCGTGACAGAAGATACTCCTGGAGCAGGCTCCCTGGCTGAGCAGGAGGACAATTTATAAACAACACACTGGAAGAGGAAAGGCAGGCTGCTACTGAAGGCAAAGGTTTTCTCCTGAACAATCCCAAGCGAGTACTGGAGCCTCGTGACTACTCCAGGTCGGTCCCTGGAGTAGCAGTCATAGTAGCAGTACTGGAATCAAACAATGGCAGAAACCTTTAGCCAGTTCCCAAGGATAAGACAAAATGAGCATTTGAATACAGGAATCAATTCCAGAAGCATCTCTACTGTGACAAAGTCTACTAGCTACAAATCTTCCCTCTAAAAGAAACAAGAAGGCAAACATCAGCTCAACATAAGCAAAGACTTGGAAAGGCAACAGACTAGAAGAAACAGCAAACAAGCAAGGCAGGGCTGTCATCTTCTAAAACATCGTTTGGGCTGGGGTAGAAGCCATTCCCTTGCTGCCTGAAGAATCAACACTGATCTAGCTCCCTGAGCAGCAGCGGGGCAAGGCAGCCCACCTGACTCACAGCCTGGCAGATATGAGACAGTCTGCAGTGAGAGGCAGCGTCCTAACCGCTGGTTCAGAATCAAACCACAATGGAGACCTGCCAGACTGAAGGCTTGGAACAGGGCAGGACCGAACTGAACCAACAAAATGATGAGACAAAGAGAATCTCTCTTCAAAAGTCAGTCACCAGCCAGGTGCTGGTGGCTCACACCTGTAATCCTAGCTATTCAGGAGGCTGAGATCTGAAGATTGCAGTTCTAAGCCAGACCAGGCAGGAAAATCTGTAAGACGGGCCTTTAAAAAAAAATAATTAATTTTATATGAATGTCAAGGTGATGTACAGAGGGGTTACAGTTACATGAGTAAGGTGGTGAGTACATTTCTTGTCAAACTTATTACCCCCTCCCTCATTTTTCTCCCTCTGTAAGACTCTTGTCTCCAATTAACCACCAGAAAACTCAAAGTAGCACTGTGGCTCAAAGTGGTAGAGCGATAGCCTTGGGCAAAAAAGGAGCTCAGGGACAGTACTCAGGCCCAGAGTTCAAGCCCAATGACCAAAAATACAAGTCAGTCAGAGGCCAGATGCAGTGGCTTATACCTGTAATCTCAGCTACTCAGGAGGAATGATCCAGAGATGGCAGCTTTAGGTAACCTGAGTAAAAAGTTAGCAAGACTCCCACATCAGCCAACAAGCTGGGCATGGTGGGGTGTACTCTCAGGACACAGGGAGTGCTACACCAGTCAGCAACCAGCCAACACTGTGAAGTCTAGAGGCCACTCCATGTGATCTGACAAAGCACAGGGGCGTCCCTAGGGCCCCAGAAAGGAAGCAGTCAGGTGGGAAACACTTGGGCTCTTCACAGATAGCCTGGCTAATAAAAATGCAATATTCAACCACAGAGGAGTGGGTATGTATATGGGTGTATGTATGGTGTGTGGGGAGGGTGTGTAGGTGTGCACGCACACCAATACCGGGGCTTGAATTCAGGGTCTCAAATTCTAAGTTGGCTATTTTGCTCACAGCTAGCACTCTACCACTTGACCCACACATCCACTTCTAGCTTTTTGCTGGTTAATTGGAGATCAGAGTATGGAAATTTTGTTGGCCCAGAAGTGTGATTCTCAGATCTTAGCCTCCTGAGAAGTTAGAATTATAAATGTGAGGCACTGATGCCAGGTACAGATTTGTTTTTAATGATGACAAACTGCTATGAGTAAAAAACATGCACTCAGCCTTGAGTGAATGGGTATGAATTTAAACCGTTTTCAGTCAGCAATTCTCCTGGACACAGTTGGTCTCCCACATGTCTAGATCAACCTGAAGATGCAGAAGTGACACAGGCCTTGAGGGTGTAGCTCCTAGTGCCAAGTTAAGAATGGCCAGAAAGCGGCTCCATTTTGCCCTCCAAGCGTTAGAAAGGAGACAGCATGGTACCCATCCACTGTGACTATACAGGAATGAACTTTACTCTATCCATCTCTGATAAAGTGAACAACTGGAGGAGGGAATGGCTAAAGGCAAGCTCAGTGTTTGATGATAAGGAAACTTTAGTTTGGGATTGCGACTCTGGTATTTGCAGGGAAGCCCTGAGACCCATCTTTGGAGACATCTAGTGGACCACTTGGCTGAAAGGAGAGGTGGAACAGAGACTGGCAGCTTGGGTTGCCAACGCTGAGGAGCATCAGGGACACAGGAGCCATCGTAAGCTTCTCTCAACCTTGTTTATAGTTCACATTTTCCATAATGAAAAGGCATTCTTAAAATACAAATGCTGGAGTGTTTACAGAACAAAATTATGTTCATACCTTGCCTCCAAGTAATTGAAAAGGGGTTGTGGGAGAAGGTGGAGATAAGCAAATTATCCCATAAGTCAGCAACTGCTGATGCTATTTGGGGTTTGTTTTACTACCCAGCTTGCTTTTTTTTGTTTAAGCCTGAGGCTTAAACTCAGGGCCTAAGCACTGTCCCTGAGTTTTATTGCTTAAGGCTAATGCTCTACCACTTGAGCCACAACTCCACTTCGAGCTTTTTTGGTAATTAATTGAAGATTAAGAATCTCACTGATTTTCCTGCCCAGACTGGCTTCAAACTGTAATCCTCAGATCTCAGTCTTCTGAGATTATAGCCAGGATTATAGCCAAGAGCTTCTGATGCCTGATGCACACTTATTCTGTTTATGCCTGAAACTTCTAGGCCTCAAAGCCTTTGGGAAAGGAAAGCAAGGGATACTTAAATACACCTGAAAAGGCCTCATCCCAGTTGATGTTCTCTAAAGACATAAGGAACCAGTGCTGGGCTGTGAGGTCCCCGCCTCAGCCTGAGCCTACAGAGAAGCTGGTGGCTGGTGGTTTCCATGTCTCACAGACAGACCACAGGGGAGGAGCAAGAGCCCGGGCTGGCATCATTGTGGACACTACCATCTTCTCCAACAGCTACATCTTGAGCTGGGAAGTGCTGATTCAAGTTCCACCACACACCCCCACCACTAAATGTTATCTGCCTCTGGCTCAGCATTTCAATTAAAGGGTAAGACACCTCAGTTTCAGGTTTCTACTGAAACCAAGTCCTGAGAAGATATTGAAGGTAAGGAACACAGCTAGAGAGATTGAGACCCCACAAAGGTGCCAGGCACCTGTTCCCCTTCAGGGCCACACTCTCCCAATTCTGAGCAGCAGCCCCTGCCATCCTGAGGCACTAGATGTCACACAAAGCACACCCCAGAGGCCCAGGTCTCCCACCAACTTCCCAGCTCCCTGAAGCTCCATCACCCAGTGAGCCACAATCAGCCCAAGATGGCCTAGTTCCACCCAGCCAGTATGTCCAAACAGGGCTGCGTACAGACTGCGATCTCAGTCATAAGTGAAGCAAAACTGACCACACTTCATTAACATGGCTGCCACCCTGGGCTGGCTCCACGAGTGTCTGCCCGCTGCCTCTGGGTCTTCTCTCCCAAGAGTGTGAATCACACACTAGAGATGCACACATGGGCCGAGCACTGCTGCAGAGGCTGAGGCCCGATGACTGCCCTGTGTTCTTCAGACACAACTGCTGGTGGCAAGGGCACCAAAGACACCTTGTCAAACTTCTTTAACATACTTATTGAAATGATATTGGCTTTTTTTTTTGGTACAGGTCCTAGAGCTTGAGCCCTGGCCTGGACACTAGCCCTGAGCTTTTGTGTCCATGGCTGGTGTTCTACCAACTTGAGCCACAGCTCTACTTCTAGCATTTTTGGGAGTTAGAGAAAAGAATCTCACAGACTTTCTTGCCAGTGCTGGCTTTGAACTGTGATCCTCAGATCTCAGCTTCCTGACCAGCTGGGATTACAGGTGTAAGCCACCAGCACCTGGCAATATTGGACTTTTTAAACAGAAAGTTGAATCTAAAACTTGCATGACTTGGGATTACCTAAAAATCCACATCAGTGATGTAAATGATGTCTATGTACCATATTTCTTCCAAATGAATCTAAAGTTCTTTCTCTTAATTATGATGTAGATACACATAATGTTCACTGTAAGAAGCTATTTATTACTTGCACAGATTCAAGCTTTACTACACTTAATGTCTCATGAAAAATACACTACAATGGCCTCATTTTTCAAATACAATTATCGATTCAATATTATGAGTTAGTGTTATTATGACCCATTAACCACAGTGAGTGCCCACTGCCAGCTGCTGCAGAGCACGCCATCACAAAGATGGAAAATGACTACCACAAAGCTTGCCTGATAGAACCCCAGGCCACGCTGTTATCCACACAGCTGAGCAGAGTGCCAATGCCCATGAGGTCGCCCACAAGGTCTGCCCCTGGCACACGATGCCCACCCCAGACCCACACAGAGATCTCACATTGCCATCCGCTCCAGAAGGGCTGTTGAACACGTACTCCAGCTGGAAGACAACTGCAAATGCTGGGTGACTGACCATCTCGGGGAGTCGCAGGTGGCTTCTCAAAACGAGAGACTGGCTTCCAGAGCTGGGAAAAACACCAATCAGGAGCTTGGAAGAGTGTTGGCCCCCATCTTGCCTTGTCTCACCTCCATCCCACTACAAATGGCAGCCAAGATCAGCCTGGGGCCTGGAGACACAGCAGGACCACTGCGATGCTGCCCAGGGCTCTGAGAAGCGGAGGAAAGAAAGCCAGGGCTAGGCTTCAGGAGGGTAAGCCAGGACAGCTAAGTCACCAAGTCACAGGCCTCCTGCAGGGAATGGCCAGCCTCTGCCTCACCAAGAGGGGAGGTATGATGGCCCATTGTGGCATCTGGGGTGGAACTGGGGAGACTGGATTCAACAGAGCAGCAGGGAATGCTGAACTGGAGCTCTGTGGCACTTGGGAAACGAAGGCCAGGGAACAGCTAGATTCTGCTGCAAGCAAATACCCAAAGCCCTAACTCCAAAGCTGTCACTGCACAAAAACAGGCTTTGTTCAATAGGGCCACTCTAAGATCTATTCCTAGTAGGTGTAGTGAAGTAAGAGGAAAGGGAGATGACAAGGAGGAACACTGCATGGTAAGCCCACCCCAGGCATGTGGCAGCTGTGTTGTCCCATGACCTCTCAACTGTCCCCACCCATCTCTTACCATGTCAGGCCTTGGGATGCAGGGAGAATACCTGCTCTTAGAAAAGGAGCCCACTTTCTTGTTGAAGCTGGCAGAGCGTGTCAAGACCACATCCATCTCAGGAACCAGCACGACCACTTGCGGCCTATGCAGAAAGCCCAGGCCATTGTGCACACCTATATGCAGTCGACGCTCCAGGACCTCCAAGGAGCCAGCATCCAACAGACTGCCCTGCAAGAGGCACAAGGTAGATGGGGTGAGTCTCATCCAGCCAGGAAGTGGGGTGACCGGAAAAGCCAGGGTGGGTGAGCAAGCAGAGGGAGGACATCAAGACATAAGTAACAAACTTTCCAGAGGTGATGCTTCACATAAATGAGCCCAAGCAAAGGAGAGATGTGTAACCCAATGGTGGCCGCTAGCTGTGAGGCACTTCCTGGGTAAGTTCGGCAGTATTGATACAGCATGACCTTCTCTGCAACATGTCTGAGGCGCACTAGCTTCCCAAGACTTAGCTGACATTTCTCAAGATGCAGCAAGCTTAGATGGGTGATCCCATGCCCTCCCACAAGGGATGCAGGAGCAAGTGGTGCCCAGAGGCAGAGTGTGCCAGGTCTCAACTCTGTCCACCCTAGACCTAAGACCATGAGGAAGCGGGGCAGAGTGTATACTCAGGCAGTAAGTCATAAACCAATAAAAATGGAATCTGTCCCAAAGTGATCACTGGATATTAAAGTGTTTCATCTTAACAGAAATTGAACGGGGACTTGAACAAATGATCAGGGCTAGACCTCCAGGCTATTAGTGTTTATTAAATTATGTGATCTTTGCAAAATGATCTCTGAGTGTTCCAGTGTTCTTCACTGTCCATTAATCGAACTGAATGGATCTAAATTCAGACTATTAGTCTTCAGAAAATGAAAATAAAACTACAGAGATAACTGAGTATCTGCCAGGTGGATGGGAACAAAAATACAAGGGTAGTAAAAAACATAATAAAACTATTTTATGGGAGTATGTAAAATTTAACAATGGTACTGTTAACACATCCCTGCCTTCACACAACCATCCTGCTCTGGAAAGTAAAGACCACAGCAAGGCCCACACGAAAAGCATGGGTGTCGTACGACCCTCTTCTATGATTCATGCTTGTGTTCATGTACAACCGTGCTGTCAAGAGTGGGAAGAGTTAAAGCCCCCACCGTGCCCATATTCCTATGTAACTAATAACTTGCCAACCTCACAGACAACTAGAGTGGGAACCAACACATCCCATTACTCGTTCTCATGACAACGACATGTCACAACCCCCATGGGCCAGACACACTAATGTATACTGCATGATGTGTGCACAGCAGCCCTATCCCTGTGGTACAGGTACTCCCTAGGAGGGCAAGGGCAGCCCTGAACAGAGAGGAAAGCAAAGTGTTCCAGGGAAACAGCGGATGGTGGGAGAGGCCTGGTGAGAAGGAAGGTGACATGACCTGTGGCGTGGCCAGGGGCTCCTGGAGGGGCACTCAGATGGGCACCGGGACCTGGAACCTGAAAGAAGTCACAAGAAGATCTGCAGGCAAAAGTCCAGTGGTGAACCGTGTGTTCAAGGCCCACAGGCCCAGCAGGAGTCCACATGAACAGGTCATGGGTGCAGCTCAGAATGAGGTCAGAAGAGCAGCAAAGACCAAGCGCCACATATCTCCTTCACTGACGGCGATGCCTGTGTCTGTCGAGGGCAGTGAGAAGCCAGACTCCACAGAGGTTTCAGACAAGGAAGCTAGCTGGACTGATGTCCCTGAAAGACCACTTTGACCAGAGTGAATACAACGTTCTCTGGGCCCAGACTCTTCCCTGAGCATGTCCTTACCCCAATGTCCAGAAGCAAAAATTACAGACTCAGCCAAAACCAGCCACAGTCACCAACGGAGGAAGGTAAACACTGTAACACAAAGCTTTCCATGCCTGAGGGCCCAGAGCAGTCAGACACACAGCCTCTACAGCAACAAGGACAGGCAGGCTCCACACCCTCACCACCTGACCCCAAAGTCACGCCACGTGAGCAAGATTCAAACTCCCCCCAAACCCCAGTGAGTACATGACCATCTGCCTGGCTTAGGATGGCTGATCTAGGTAGACCACAGGCAAGACAGCAGGGTGCCACGTGGTCTCACCCTCCAGCAACAGGACAGGTGGAGGATAAAGAGCAACCAAAAGGACATAGACATCGTTAGGCCTCTGTTATGCATTAAATCTACTGTGGTCCCCTTAGCCACAGCAAGTCAAATCAGTTTCAGTAATGGAGGACCTCACGTGACACGGCAAAGGCTGTAATTCAGAAAAGCAGCAAGTCCTCAGCTGACCTGCCAGCTACCCACACACAAACAGGATTTTACTTCTTGCTCAAGATCACACTATTTAAGATACACACAGAAAAGGATGATAATGGCCCAACTAAGTGCAACCCAGAAGTCAGCCCATCAGCAGAAAGGACACACACAGAGCAGCGTCTCAATCACAACTGCCATGCCTATGGGGAAGAACAGAGCTGCCTGAAGAGGAGACGGGACTGAGACTGCAACCACCTCCTGAAATGAGCCACCCACCCTCAAAAGTCCGTTGTAGATATGGGGCATAATCTTTGGTGATATGATTTCTTTTCTTTTTTTTTTTTTTTGCTGGTCCTAGGGCCTGAACTCCAGGCCTGGGTGCTATACCTGAGCCCCTTTGTGCTCAAGGCTAGTGCTCTACCACTTGAGCCACAGCACCACTTCCAGCTTTCTCTGAGTGGTTTATTGGAAAGAAGTGTCTCATGGACTTTTCTGCCCAGGCTGGCTTGAAATCACAATCCTCAGACCTCAGCCTCCTGAGTAGCAAGGATTATAGGCATGAGCTGGTGATATAATTTATTTTAAAATGAGGACTGGTTTATGATCCTTCCACATTAACATCAGTGCCTCAGGATATCAGCGCCCGAAATTGCCCACCCCTTTCAGTATCTGTGGAGATCTTGGCCCAGGTGGAAACAGGTCCTGGAAGACTTGCTGACTGTAACAATTCAGAGACAAAAAGAATGTCCCCATCAGCCAGAAAAAGGGAGGAAGGAGTGTGCTCTGTCCCAACTATGCTATCATACCTCCCGGAAGTGGTCGCTGGTGAGCAGCTCCAGCAGCTCCCCCTCAAACTTCTCCAGGGAGGGGGCCAGAGTGAAGGAGACAGCATCCAAGTGCAACGTGATGGGCTTCTGTAGGCGAGGCTTCCTCAGGGCGTCACCTGAAATGGGGAGAAGACTCAGGAGAAGCAGAAACAGGGCATGCGCACATACGTATGTATGTACGCGCGCACACACACACACACACACACACACACACACACACACACACACACACACACACACACACACACACACGGCTCAGGCTGAGCACGGGCAATGGGTCTTAAGGCGAGAAGGTAGCAGAGGCACACCGGAACCACGGCAGGCCAGGCTGAACCACTCTCCTTTCAACCAATGCCCATCCCACTGGCAGTCAAAACTCTATCTGAACTTCCTCCAAGAAGAAATTTTCCTAAGCGAGTCCCTAAAAGAACACTGAGTACGGGAGGAAAAGCTGTGCCGAGTCCCAGTGCACGTGCACCTTGGACTGCTTGGAACACACAGGAATGCACATGTGCACATGACACCAACAAGCAGAAACGATGGGGCTGGCAGCACAAGAACGGAGTCCTGTCCCCTCCAGGAGCCTCTGTGGGGCTTCAGGGTACAGGGGAGGGCAGGATCCAGGTGAGAGAAGCCCTACCCCGTAGGAACCATGGGGTCGTGGGGAAACCTGTGGGTCTGCCCTTCATTCTCGGTACTATATATCACACTTCAATCCTCTCTACACAGCCCCAGCACTCCCCGCTTTCACATGAGACGCTGAGATTAATGTACGCCTGTCCAGGCACCTACGCTTCTCTCTTACCATTCCAGTTAATAACAGCCGCAAGCCCGTGGGTGCAACTAAAGAAACAGAGAAACCCGTGGGACCTGCAGGTGGCTTCTGTCACCTGTCTCCACCTGAAGGTTCAACCACCTTCACGTATCACCTACCGGCTGGTGACTAAGCCCTTACCACATGAGAACTCCAGACCCAAACTACAGCGCCCAAGTCATGAGGGGCAGCTAGCAGAACCCTGGGGCATGCAAAAGGTCCAACAGGGCTCCCCTAGCTGTACAACAACTGACCCAATCTCACCACTGGAGAGTTAACTTCTAAAAGCCACACCACTTCTGCTTCCAAAAATAATCTAGTCTCTGTACATCAGTTTTCCTAGCAATGTTTTTTTTTTTAATTACTGAGTTTGGGGTTGGTTAGGTGATGTGCAGACTCACTGTATCAAACTATAAAAGTGATGAAGGAAAAATAGTTACATTTAATCTCTTATGTTTCCATACTTAGTCCTTGGCAGAAACTCAAGGACTTTCAGAACATTTGCCTGCTTTTTTCTTTTTCTCGCCTTATGCTGAAAATACCTAGACACAAAAACATTCACTGGTTTTCACCAATACTATTCTGATATAAAAGTACATATAAAAGTAAGTTAAATAAGATTATGTCTTTGTTGCTTTTATATCCCTCCTCCATGGTATAACCCCTGCTTTCACTATATATGATGTTAGTATATGTGGAGGGGAAGGGAAAAAACAAATTGTTAAAACAGGGATACAGGAGGACCCATTGCAACAATGAAATGTACAAGTCGTTATGTCAAAAAATGAACTTTACAACTTTGGTGGGGGGGGACGGCAGGGGAGGATGCGAAGGGATGGGAAGGGGAAACAAAGGAGGAGGTTACAATGCTTGATAAGAAATGTAATTGTACATGTAATTGTAACCCCTCTGTACAGTATTTTCACAATTAAAAAAAAAAAAAAGTAAGTTAAGCCTAGCGCTGATAGTTCACGCCTGTAATCCCAGCTACTCGGGAAGTTGAAATCTGAGGACCACAGTTCAAAGCCAGACCAAGCAGGAAAAGTCCAAGACACTCATCTCTAATTAAGCACCAAAAAAGCCAGAAGTGGAGCTGTGGCTCAAGTGCTGGAGTGCCAGCCTTGAGCCAAGTGCTAGCCTTTGCCCATGGACAGTGCTCCGGCACTGAGTTCCAGACCTAGTATTGACACCAAAAAAAAAAAAAAAAGTTAAAATGAACATTTTTAATTCTATTTACCAACAATTATCTTTAAACCACTTTCTAATAGGCAAGTTTTCTATAACTTGACCTGCATATTGATTTTTCAACTTGTTTTAAGTTGTTTTCTTGCTGTGGATTGAATGCATGGCCTTACTCATTCTAGACAAGTGCTCCACCACTGAAAAACATCCCAGCCCTCAACTCTGCTTCTTGTACTTTTTATTTATTATACAAGATAGTGGATTTCACTATGACAGTTTCACATTCACATATTACACACTTGCTTCATATTCACTATCACCTACTGTCTCCTTCCAATAACCCCATTCTAAAATAGTCCTCCTTTTACTTTCACGCCTTTGTTCTAAGTCTAGATTCTGCATGAGGGAAAATGGACATTCGCCTTATTGCACTTAACATGATGACCTCAAGTTCCAACCAGTTTCCTCACCACAGTATTAAATCACAGTAGCCAAGAGATGGAGTGACCCCGTGTACATTCACAGATGATTGGACAGACCAAATGTGGTCTAGCTGTCCAATGAGATATTATTCAGCTTTAAAAAGGAAGGAAATAGCCAGACGCCAGTGGCTCACACATGTAATCCTAGCTACTCAGGAGGCTAAGATCTGAAGATCGTGGTTCAAAGCCAGCCCAGGCAGGAAAGTCCATGAGACTCTTATCTCCAATTAACCACCAGAAAACCAAAGGTGGCGCTGTAGCTCAAGTGGTAGAGCTCTAGCCTTGAGCTGAAGAGCTCAGGGACAGAACCCAGGCCCAGAGTTCAAGCCCCCCGACCTACCAAAAAAAAAAAAAAGGAAGCAAGGAAATTGTGACTCCTGCTTCCATAGGTGAACGCTTTAGACATTCTGCAAAGGGAGATAAGCCAGTTGGAAAAAAAAAAAAAAAACTACAGGATCCCACTGCTCTAAGGAGGTCTAACTGCAGTCTCTCAGATGACAGCAAGCTATGTGCTGGGGCTAGAGAAAGGGGATGGGCTTAGTGGATACAGGTTCATCTTGAGAAGATGAATAGTGGTGGGCACTGCCTAAACAAGATGAATGGGCTTAATGCCCCAGAATGATCCACTTTGAAATGGGTAAATTGTTAAATGTTACGTTACATACATTTTACAACTAAAGGAGATACTAATGAAGCCACAACATCATGGCACAGTCAGTATGAGAAAGATGCTCTATGAATGCGTCTCTGCAGGAAAGACAAAGATGTGTGAGGCTGTGACATATTCTTGCAGTAGGGACTGGGCAACAGCTTCCACTGCGGCCTTCTCTCCCCTCACCCCACTGGCCATGCTGCTAGCAATACAGGGTACACAGCCAGCCTGGCCACCCCCAACCTCCCTGGAGGAGCCCACACTTTCCAAGATCTGACCCAGAACTAACAGATTCACAGTGGAGAGGATCAAAGCAGGCCTTACCCATGTCCCCATGCGGCGGCAGAAGGCCAGGAATCTGTTGCAGACCAGACACCAGGAGGTTCTCAGGGAGCAGGTGGAAGGCAGGTTCCAGGGCCGGATGAGGCCTCAGGGTGTACAGCAGGCTGCAGGCCTCCACCACCGTCAGGTGCTTGCTCTCTGGGGGAACACCATGTGCCAGCTGAAATCCAGGGCACTTCTAGTCAAATCAGCCAAGAAACACAAGCTAAACAGAAAACTCCACAAACTGAAAACTTGTGTTCCTAAAGAGAGTGAGAACCTGCTCTGCGAATGCAGTCAAAAAGTAATAGGAACCCAGCCTAACAATCCTGTCTAAATCTGCAGTGACAAGCTTTGGTTCAGTCTTTGTGTGTACCTGTTTAAGACAGGGTCTTGCTGTGTTGCCTATGCTGACCCTCAAACTCGTGAGCTCAAGCAATACTTTCATCCTGACTTCCCAAGAAGCTGGAACTATAGGTGTACCTGGCTCTGCAATTGTTGTATTGTCATTTTGTGCTAGTCCTAGGATTCGAACTCAGGACCAAGGCCCTGTCCCTGAGGTTTTGTGCTCAAGGCTAGCATTCTACCACTTGAGCCACAGCTCCACAGCATTCTAGTGATTAAAGATAAGAGTCTCATGGACTTTGCTGCCCAGGCTGGCTTCAAAGCATGATCCTCGCATCTCAGCCTCATGAGTAGCTAGGATTACAGGCATGAGCTACTGGCGCCTGGCATGAAAGTTGTTTTTAAACAAACATATCCTATCTCTCCCTCCACAGGATGAGCAGAGTCCTGTGCAGTTTCCCTGCACAGGAGACACTCTGCCCCCCAGGCTGCCTTCCTGAGCCTCCACTGGGATCCATCAGACCCCACAAAGGAGCAGGATGGCGCTGGATGTGGAGACAGTGTCAGAGATGGAGCCATGTCCTCAGGAAGGCCAATCCTGGACTGATGCCCAGACACACAACACACAGCCAGCTTTCCTTGGTGCACAGGGACAAGGTCTAAACACAAGAGAGATCTGGGCAAAGCCCTGGCGGGAGGGGTGGCCAGGAAGAGGTGATGTGGGGGGCGCAGGAGGACAGAAGAATGTGACAATCCTCACCCTGGCAGGCATAAACTCCCCTGGGGAGAGGGCTCAGCAGGGAGGAAGCAGGCAACAAAATGGGGTACAGAGCAGGCAGCTCAGAACTACAGAGCCAGAAGGAAGAGGAAACCACACGTGTACCCTCTCTACATGCCCACCTCAGCCTGGACCGACTCTCTCCAGTGAGACTGACCATGCCACCTCCCAGGCTAACCGGGGCCAGGTCTGGCGCTGGGGCCGGACTGCAGAGCGCTAAGATCACAGATTCATCTCACTCACTGCAGCTTCCGTAAAAAACAGACTAAAATGTGAACTACTGCGGTCATCAGAAAGAGGAATCAATGAACACTGTCCTTTTAATACTTAACAACTCTAAACACAGGCTCTGTTTACTTGAAAATACCCCTTAAAGGCATTTCACCTGTGTGGCTGGCCAGACAGAACACTGGCAGCTCTGAGGAGAGCAAACGAGAGAAATTTAGCAAAAGAACAGCTACTCAGAGGCTCAGGCCAGGCTTCCACGTCAGCAGCCCACCCCAGCTGCCAGTGTCACCTCAACTCTGGTCTCACCTTGACCCTGGCCTCTGCAGAGCCACCTAAGCCACTGTGGAGGGGACGAGCCAAGTGTGGGATAGCAGGTCAAGGAGAGGGGTTGGATGTTAAGGGGAGAAGCACATGTGGACAGTGAGGGAAACGAGGGGCAAGAGCCAGGTGCAATGGCAGGTGTGCACCTGTACAAGCTACACATGAGGTGGGGGACCTCTCAACCTTTACACTTTCTCAGACTTCTGGTATTATGAACCCAGCGAAGCCATTGAGGCCATCGCCATTTCCATCTACTTGCAGAGATGTGAGCAGAAGGGCTGCTAGTGAGAGGCTGCCCTTCCCTCCCTCCAGTCCCTCAAGTCAGGAGGACACCAGAGGCCATGGCCTTCCTTAAAGGCCCTGAGTCTAAGGATGCTGCAAGAGAGAAAGTCTCGACTAATGATAATTTCAGCTAAAAAAAAATAAATAACCTAAGAGCTAACCTTTTGAATAAAACTGTTCCTGACTGATAACTTTCCTATATCAAATTCAGGTGGGCAGGGGTTGGGCTGTGACATTTCAACACAGGGCAAGGGACATACACATTCCCTTCTGGGACACATCTTCAAGGACAGAGGGCTGCTGGCCCAAGCAAACCTACCTCATACCACTCTCCCTGCCCACACTACCCAGGGTAGGTCAGCATTGGCACTGGGCCTCTAGATGCCCTTCTTGTCCACCCCACCTCACAAGCCCCTCCTGCCATGCTCCAGTGGAGGCAACAGAGGGGCCAACATGCCTGTGGCTGCTCAGGAGGTGCTGCCACAGAGAAACAGCAGGATCCCCCAGCCTGGGGCAGGCCGACCTGACAGGAGGCCACAGGGCCTCCACAGAACTCTCCCCATCGGTGGGCACAGCTGGGGAGGCTTTGCTATGTTGGCAATATCCAGTGACTTCACAGTCAAAGTTTTCCTGGTCACTAGTGGTGATAGGCAGAAACTGCTTCATCTAGGGAACAAAGCCATTATCCTCAAGGCACCCTAGGGCCACATCCCTCCCAAGCTCCTTCACAAAACTGTACCCTCCTTCTAGGCCCATGACATACTTATCTGTAATTACTATGTAACTGTGCTAAGCTAATGAAAACTGCACCAGGAGAAAAACGTCAGGGTAGGGCTGAAGAGAAGAACACTGGCAAGCCACAAGCCCACATAGGGCTGTCAAGGCCAGGCCAGACCCTTACGCTCTACAGGATCCTGGAGAAGTGGGTGCAGGAGGGCTCTGGGGGTGCCATGATACAGCCTCAACCTGGAAAAGAGAACCAGAAGCAATGTCAACTTCCCACATCTGGTATTAGAGAGGAGATGGAACCCTGTCCCCACCACCTCAGGCCTCCCAGCGCCTTCTATGCACTGCCAGTTCCATCCTCTGAAGAGAATGGGGGTAGCAGTCTGCCATGTTGCAGCCCAAAAACTGAGAGCTAGAAAAGAAGACCAAGAGAAGTACCCCAACTCTGAAAGCTATAGGAAAGAACACGGCTGAGCGCTGTAGCCCATGTCTGTCATCCTACCTACTCAGGAGGCTGAAATCTGAAAATCACAGTTGGAAGCCAGCTTGGGCAGATAAATCTTCAAAACTCTTAGCTCCAATTAGCCAGCAAAAAAAACAGACTGAACGCATGGTTCAAGTGGCAGAGTACCAGCCATGGCCAAAAAAGCCACGTGAGAGTGAAAGACCCGGAGTTTAAGCCCCAGTGCTGGAAGAGGTGGGGTGAAGGAAGGTCTGTGGGATGTCCATGGCAGTGGGAGTCAGGTTCCCACCCAGGGATGACGCTGTCTCAGTGCTCTCCGCCTGTGCCCCAGTGAGGAGCACTGCCCCCATCCAGGTGTATGGGGAGAACACAGCAGCTTGAAGAAATTAATCCTCAGGGCCAAAGAGTTTCTCACTCCAGGTGCTGATCTCCAAGAAACCAGACAGGCTGCTTCTGCTCCTGGAGCGTCCACCCCAGGAATTCTACTGCACACATTACACTGGCTGGGGAGATTTTAGCTGACACACCTGGACAGGATTGCTCCTGGCACATGGTGTGTACAGGTCGGAGATGCAGCCAGCACCTTGCAAGGCACAGGACATCCCACAGGGAAGAGTGATCAGCCCTAAACGTCAGTGATGCAGGACCATGGGTGATCTTATCCTTCTCTGTACAGCCTCAACATAGCCCTGCACACAGTAGGTGTTCAGCCAGCATCTGCTGAGTGAACACTGGCTGCTTCCGGGGCACCTGTGTGAAAACCACACTACTGAGCACTCAGCAGTCCTGAGATGCATACCAACAGAGCTGTGTGTGTAGGTCAGAGAGATGAACCTTGCGCTTAGGATCCCACAGGGAACAAGTGACAGAGCAGGAAACTGCTCCACGTGCATCCTACATCCAGTGCAAGGCTCAGAGCTAAGGCCAGGCTTCACTCTAGACTGAGGAACAACTTGGCTTACTTAGAAGTGAAAGAAGGAAAAAAAAAGGGGGTGGGGGAGGGGGGTTAGGGGTATGGATCAACTGAGAGCACCTGCCTGATAAGTACAAAGTCCTAAGTTCAAACTCATAAAAAAGGCAAAAATAGTAAAATATCCCGTGGCATGGCTGTTATGAAAACACACAGCTGTGATAACAAATTAAGGCTTCCTATCACCACCAACAGGAGGCTGGGAAACGCCCAAGCATGGAAAACTAGGTAGGCACCGTTTGTCCTGGGAAGCAGAGGTAGGCGATTCAGGCTTGTTGTTGAAGATCCGAAGAATTCCAAACCCACATGACAACATCTGGACGGTGCCATCTCTCCTCCTGCCTTCAGTGACCACTTCTACCACAGCAACGATGTTCGGGTGGTTTAAAGACGTATGGAAGTAGAAGGGCTGTAAGACAGACAAACAAGCTGGCTGAGCAGAGCCAGGCGATAGACCCAGCGCTCACAGCTGCAGAAGAAGCAAGACCCTGTCATGTGCACAATACAAGGGCAGAGAACCCACCCTGTACCCTCCTGTGGACCACTGTCCTCCAGCCAGATGTTTGGGAAGGTGGCACTGTGAAGTAATCCCGTGGGGCCAAAAAGCTTCTTACTGTAGGTGCTGATATCCACGAATAGACAATCTGCTTCTGCTCCAAGGGCTTCAGCCCTGGAAATTCCACTTCCATATATATCAACAGAACCCAGAAACTCTAGGAAGAACAGCTGGCCCAGCTGTGCACTGCCCTAGGGGTAGGTAAGACCAGGCAAGTGCACCATGACATCAGCCCAGGGCAGAATACACCCATTGCAAACATATCCATCCACTCAACATCTTATACCCAAGCCTCAGCTGAGGTGTAAGGTTCATGAAGTTCCATCTGAACTAATTGTGCTTCAATTAAGGAGGATCCTGAGATTTCTTTAGTTGCTAAGGAAATTCAGAGTTCAATGTCTTTCATGATGAGAATTACCTTGAGATCTTCTCATTAGCAGATTTCTGGGGGATCTAAGCCAAGTAGATGATACTCAAATTGATCTTAAAAGGTCTTCCAGCCAGGTGCCGAGTGTTCACACCTGTAATTCTAGCTACTTGGAAGGCTGAGATCTAAGGATGGGGGTTTAAAGCCAACCTGGGCAGGAAAGTCTCCAATTAACCACTAAAAAGGATAGGGAATGCGGCTCAAGCAGTACAGCACTGGCCCTGAGCTTTTTTGCTCAAGACCCATGACCAGCACCAAAAAGAAAAGCAAAAAATCTTCTATTTGCAACCTTTCCATGCCCAAATGCAAACACAGGATCACTGACTCCAGCTGTCTCCCCCACTCGTGGGAGAGGAAGAGTGGGAGGTGAGCCAGTTGAGGTAAATCCATCTCCCAGAACACAAGCACTCTCCTTCCACTCTGCTCCTGTTTTTCTGCCTCATTCAACGTACCCCACTTGTTTGTAATTAAAAGCGACTCAGTGTCAGGCACAGAAGACAGAGGTGGAGCTGAGGGTCACATCTGCCAGCCCAGGACCTCAGTGTCCATGGCAACACATGTGGAGATGACTGAGCTGGGGCACAGGGGAGCGGTGTGGTGTAGAGCCACCAGCTGGGCCTGGAGACCACCCCAGCAGAGGTGGGGCAGGGCCCACCTCACCATGATTAATCCCCCTGCTAATGAGTCATTTCCATGTTGTCACGGAAGAAGCGGTTTACTGTAATCGCAGACTGTCAGCCCAGGATAACAGAGGGACACATTAAAACATCAGCCACAAGACATAAATCGTTATTCTATTATCTTTTATTGCAAAATGATGAAATAATGACCACTTACAGCTGACAGGTGGTTGGACTGAGAAAGAGTTATGTTTCTGTGTCCAGGACCGGGGAAGTGTTTAAAAAGCCCTGCTGTGAGGCCGAGTCTGCCATGACTACACCTTTCTATTTATACCTGTGCCCATTGGCTCTGTGAGCACTGCCCACTTTTTCTTTGGGCAGTAAAACAAACATTTAAACTCTGCTAGGAAGCAGCAAGTATCTCTCAGCCTTGCAGTCACCTTGAAACTGCTGTTTGAAAACAGGAGGACCAGATGCTCAGGGATGTCCCAAGTACAAATTTATGGATACTTCCTCACCTTCATTTACTATCAGAAAGAACTGTCTTGAGACCAGGAGAAACCTTCGAAACAGAGCCCAATTACTGTGCATCTCAGCCCGGCAAGCTGTTTCATGGGCAGTCAGGGTCCCCTGGAAGCAATGCATACTGAAAGAGGATTCAAGTTCACGTCGGTATTGGTACTGATTGAAAAGGACATAAGTATACGCTTTTCCAAAATCAATTTGATGTGGGAATGGTACCATGGTAAAGGATTCATGAGGAGCCTGAAAAACACAACCCATTCTTGAAGAAGGTCGAGGATAAAGACCTCATGAAGGGTACAACAACACGGCTGTGTCCAGAATGGCCTTGAGCGTGCTCAGCTCTCTCCACTACTCATCCAGCAAAGTCATCTTTGCCAGGATCACCTGTGCCTAGGTGCCCCGCCCCCTCTCCTGGCATGCAAATGAGCTCGGCTAAAATTCCAGACAGCGTGTAGCTGATTGACACCTGTAACCAGACCTTCCACCTAGAGAAATTTAATTAACACCAATGCCATACGTTTTGAGAGGAAAATTCTAGGCCTCACCTGAAATTGCATAATTAAAAGTTTAAGTCAGGCCATCAAATCCCTGCAGAGAAGGCCACTCAGACAGAGGCAGCTCCCCTTCACCCCTGCATCACACTTCACCAGTCTGCCCTGGGTGAGTTCCTCCCTGACAGGATAAACAGATTAATAAATCATTTAAATGCTCCAGGCCTAATGCCTTCATCTTCAAAAACACAGACACATTCGCCTCAGGACAAGGCTTCCATTTCTCACCCACAATGACAGGACTGAAATTGGCTCGGCTGATGTGACACCACACCTGGTGTCTCCAGCTGATGGCCCACTGTCCTGCCACCTGCTGACCTGTGCCCACGAGGCCAAGGAGGGATGAGTAGAATTGAACCTTTCGATAACCATCTTTAAAATATTTAATAAAATAAATCCTTAAATAGAATATCTTCAGGAAGGCAAATAAGCAACAGATACTTCCCACAGCTTCTATCTCCCTACTCATCTCATACCTGGGTTCAGACAGGACCTGCCCTGGCTGTCCAACGCTGACAGCCCACAGTGCAGCCAACTCTGCTGAGCCCAACTCTCCTCTGGAACATGCAGAGTCTCAAGATCCAAATGTGGAAGCTTTTGGGGGGCAGAGGAATAGGGGGCTACCCATGGCATTGTCACAATGATGAGGCCAGCACTTAAGAACTCACCGGATAACAGAGACCGATCCAGCCTCAGTGGTGCAGATGGAGAAACCCTGACCTACAGGAATTACACAAACTTTAGCCCTAGCTGAAAAGATGGCACGTGATTATCTCCATCTCTGTATATCCAGCTCCCAAACAGCATGGCACACAGTAGGTGATCAGCCAGCATCCACTGAGTGAACACCCACTGCTTCCCAGGTACCTGTGTGGGAACCAAAGTACTGAGCACTCAGCAGCCCTGAGATGCATACCAACAGAGCCGTGAGTGCAGGTCAGAGAGATGAGCACCATGCCTGGGATCCCCCAGGGGACAAGTGACAGAGCAGGACTCTGATCCACGTGTACCCCCTATCTCCAATGCAAGGCTGGTGGCCAAGGCCAGTCCTCACTCCAGCCTGAAGGGCAACTTGGCTAACTTAGAAGAGTAGGTAAGTAGACCTAGTTATAACCCAAACAAGAAATTCCCATAGGATGTTGTTATGAGTACATGACAACAAAAGAATCCAAAGTAAAGCTTCCCACTGTCCCAGCAATTCAATCACCATTCAAGTAGATCCAACACTGGAAACAGCACCAAGACATCATTTCTGTGAAACCACTTCCTGTCATGGCCCCACTTCCAGCTGAGAGCCAGGTGAGGACATCCCTCCAGAGGTCACAGGGCATTCAGACAGGTGAGCAGCCCCATGGAAAGGACGCTGCAGCCTCTGTGCCTGTGGTTGTCTGTATCAGAATGTGTGTGAGTGCGCATGGGCATGCACACGTGCATGGGCACACATGCGCGCGCGCGCGCGCGCACACACACACACACACACACAGGCACACGTGAGCAGCATGGGGCTGTGGGAGGGCTAACTGCTCATACCAGAATGAGGCTGATTAATCCAGGCTTTGGAAGGGCCTTCAGGGGCTTCATTTGGATTACATGGTTTTTCGCTGACAGCACCCACTTTTAAAGGGGAGATTACATGGCTCTCATTACTCTGTGCATAAGCGCCATTCAAGACTCGCTTTCGCACACTTCTGTGAAGGGGAGGGGACTTCTTATCTGTGTCACTTGGTGAAGAAAGGTGACTTCCCCAGCCACATAAGTGACATCTGAACCGGTTAATGTGAGGACCCCCCCAAGGGTCCTACCCTCCCCCCACTCCTGAAACAGAGGAGGAAAAGCAAGCCTGCCATACAGGTGAGGGGTGGGTGGACATGGCAGTCAGCTAAGAAAGACTCTGGGAGGAATTATGCACATCTCCAAGAGAAACTATAGAAATCACTGTACTGTGGCCTGCAGGACTGCTTCTTAAAAAGATGAGTTTTTTAATGTTAAATGAATTACTGTCTCAGAGGAAGCAAAAGGCAATTCCTCTCCACCAGGGAAGGTCTCTGAGGAAAGTGCAGAATTCTAGGCTCAGAGCTGAGGGAGATCTGGGGGCTGCCTGCCTGGGCCCACAAGGCAGAGCCCATGAAAGGGATTCGACCAGAGCCAAGAGATTATCGCTTATGAAAACCCTAATTTGAATTCAAGGCCTCCTGAGTTCAAAGTCTTTTCTTGGGACAGTGTTGTGTGCAGCTACAAAATGACATCTTCTCCCTCAGCCACATACACAGGGACAGCTGTGAGACCCTGAATGCAGCCCCCTCAAACAGGCAGTTCACCCACCTCAGTACTTTACGTGTTCTGAAGGCATGTGTCCAGAGCAGTCAGTCAGCACAATACAATCACCACACACACACACACACACACACACACACACACACACACCTGCTGATGGAGGCTTACCCTGGGAATGCATGTCAATCATGTGTGGACAGTGACATGTACAAGAACAAGCTCAGGCACACTCACACAGATCTAAGGGGGGCTCTCTCCAGTTAACTAAACTAAGCCTTTTATGTACCCTGAAAGTGGTATATAGAAGGGGAGAAGGAGAGAGGGGGAGATGCTGCCTAAAGGCTGCTGGGATGGAGTCATCGCCGGGCCACCACTGGCCTCTGCTGCTCGCAGTGAGCATAGCAGCTGGAGAAAGGCAGGTTCCAGAAGCAAGTGTGGGCTCAGGCATCCCCTGCATGACTTGAAATGCTGCCATATTCTCTACTTCAGCAACTGCACGATTGAAGAGGGCAGGCTTATCCAGAAAATTTAGGGATTGTGCTCCTCTTATCCCCCCACGCCTCCTACTGCATGGCCTCAACAGCAGGCAACCACGATGGTTGCCAGGCTAAACTGGAGTGGTTCTGACAGACACTGGATATCCCACTGCATAGTCAAGGATATCCCAGCCCAGGAACAAATGGCTGAAATCTTGGTTTTCCTTGCCCAGGTCTGAATCATGGACTGAAAGGGCCTGACCACTACAAGGGCAAAGCGAGCTAAACTGTGATTCAACTTTCAGGGCCACAGAAGCCAGATCCAACCTGAGAGCACAGATCCAACCTGAGGGCCAGAAGCAGCATTGGGCCCTGGTACCCTCGTGTTGACTGGTGGTCAATTTGGTGACCTCCAGGACCAAGAGACAGAAGGGTCCACTTCACTTCCAACCTGAATCCTACTTGGGTCAGGATCACTGGTGGGGAACACAAGTAGACACTGTAGGCATGGTCCAGCTACCTCCAAATAAAGAGCTACAAAAAGGCTTGGGAGAGCCAGGCACCAGTGGCTCATGCCTGTATTCCTAGCTACTCAGGAAGCTGAGATCTGAGGATTATGGTTCAAAGCCAGCCCAGGCATAAAAGTCTATAAAATTCTTATCACTAACCAGCAAAAAGCCAAAAGTGGAGGTGTAGCTCAAGTGGTAGAGCACCAACCTCAAGCAGAAAAAGCTAATGGACAGTGCTCGGGCCCTGAGTTCAAGCCCCAGTAACAGCACCAAAAAAAAAAAAGGAAAAAGGAAAAAGGACTGGGAGGGATGCATCAGGGACCTCAGTGACAAAGCTGGATCCCCCAGCTGCTTTCCCTACCTCCCCTCCCTTCTACGAGCACTCCCTAGATAACAATGGCACAGTAATGTGAACCAGGAGACCAGAAGGACAGCAGGACACTGTTGAAATCACAGCTGAGAGTAGCCCACCCGGCTCAGCCACCAACACACCAGCCCCTCAGTGTCCTCCCCTCTAAAATGGGGACATGAGGACATGAGACTACTGGCCTCCACAGGATACAGGACAGGATCAAACAACATAAATGTGGCTCTAAGCCACAGAAGTCCCTCCCCAGGGAAGGATGGCTGTCCTGGCCACCAGCATCTCCATTCATCATACAAACTGTCACAATGTGGGGCACATCCTAGACAGAAAAAATCACAAGAGATGAACCTCCTAGAAGGCCACCCCCAAAAGGCAGCAGAGCTACACAGAGGCTCGTCAGCAGCAGCAGCATCCAGAGACTCAGGACATGTCACAGGCACAAGGCGATGCGGTGGCTACGCTGAGTCAGCCTCAAGGGGTCGCGCGGTGCCGTGTACACCATTTACAACATGGAATCTTGTCTCTCCAACACAAGGGCCAGGGCGACCTTTAGGAGGCATTTGCATAAGCTGTCTGACAACCTTAATGTCAGACACATTTTCTGTTCCTATGATATACACTTTGCCAGGCTCTGTTTAATCTTCCTGACCTCCGGGGCGCAGCTCCCTTGACAAACCGTGTTAAATCAGGGTAACTGCTGAGGTAATCCATGCCAAGACACACACACAATCCTCAGGCTGGGTGACAGCCAAGCACAGAGGGCTACATGTTCACAGCCAGCCTGAGCCTCAGTGTTGGCTACAGCCACAGCCCTGGCACAGAAGAACTTCAGGGATAGCTGCCCGGAATGATGACTCAGGGGACAGCTGTGGTCACCTTCACACCCACTGGCACACCAAAACAGCCCAGGCCCTCCAAGTCACCTCAGGCTCCCACCTGTACAAGTCAAATCATAGGAGACCCCTGTGCTCAAACTTGGACTCCCCACTGGGGCTCAGGGGTAAAGCAGCAGACAGCGCCCAGCTCTTAAAGATCCTACCATCTCCCAGGAAGGTCCTGCAAGACCTGACCAAGGAAGCCCTTCCTGACCACCTCCCCAACCCCACCGGCTGCCACACCAGCCTCTGAGCCCCTCAACCCAAACACTGTAAGAAAATATCCCCAGCCCTGCTCAGCCCAGGGCCCAGCCTCATAGAGGCCCTCCTCCATGGCGCTGCCTGCAGCAGCCAAGCTCCCGTTCTTCTGCTGGTCTCCTGAGAACATGGGCAGCAGTGTTACCTGCTCAGCATCTCCCCAACAGACCATCAGCACTGACAGGAGAGAACCTCCTCTTCCACCCTGGTGCCTGGAAGGTAGCCAGCAGGGGGCATTGACCTCAGGCCTGGGCACTTGGGGTGGCTGCCCAAAGGGGGAACAGTACTGTCTGCAAGGTGGCCTACCACAAGGTTACCTGGGCCTCCCCTTCCCCCCGACTCTCCCCCACGCCCAGGCCACCGCTCAGTCTAGAAGGCAGAGGCATAGGTCTGAGTTCACACTGCGCCACCTTCCGCCCACACAGGTAGATCACACTCCCAAGTCTCAATTTTCACCATATGTGATGGTTAATGCTGACTGCCAACTTGAGCGGAGTGAGAAGCACCTGGGACACAGGCTGGCAATACTCACGCCATTTGAGCCCAGATCACACCCCCCCATGTGCCAGATGCCAAGGCTGGAGCCACAGGATTTAGGGTTTACACTGCTGGATTTCATTCTTGCTTTGGTCCAGACTTCTTCCATTCGTCCCTTTTGGAATGGGAATTTGTACTCTGCCACTGTATGTTGCAAGTAGATAACATGTATTTTTTGTATTTTATGGGACTCACCGCTAAGAGTGTACCTTGAGCCTCAGTAGATTTGGACTTGAGCTGGGGAACCGCATGGAACAAAAGGTCAGAAAGGAAAAATCAGCAACCCATGCTTCCTCTCCCTATATCCTGATAGCCATGAATTAGGGCCACATGATCTCCCCACCATGACGTCCTGACTTACCACAGGTCCAGAATCAGAGCCAAGAAGTATGGACTGAGCCTCTGACACCATGAACCAAAATTCATCTTCCTCCTCTCAGCTGCATCCCAGGTAGTTTGTCACAGCCAAGAAGAGAACCTAACACAACTTCTATTTTAAAAAAGAAGGTGGTCATTGGGTGCTGGTGGCTCATGCCTATAATCCGAGCTACCCAGGCAGCTGAGATCTGAGGATCATGGTTCAAAGCTAGCCTCTTATCTCCAATTAACTACCCAAAAAAAAAAAAAAAAACGGAAGTGGAGCTATAGCTCAAAGTGATAAAGCAGTAGACTTGAGCAAAAACTCAAGGAAAATGTCCCTGAGTTCAAGCCCCATGACAGACAGAAAAAAAAAAAGAAAAAGAAAAAGGCAGGAGGGAGGAAGGGGTGAGAAGGAAAGGGGCAGTGATGGCAACAGGTGAGATCAATAACTTCCTAAGTTTGTCCCAAGGTTCCTTGAAGGTTATGAGACCATGGCAGACATTTCCATCTGTTTGGGAACAAGATGCCCACTGTGAAGACAAGCTCGTGGTGACAGGTCCTGAGGCTCCGTGACATCCCTACAGGTCTTAGATGCCTGGTCCTCTCAGGGCTGAGGACCCACTCCCTGAGCTACACATCCGAGGACCAAGCTGTGCCCTGCTGCAAAGCAGTCTCACCCCGCCAGCAGGGCCCACCTCATTGAAGACAACCCTGGGCGGTTGCCTGGAGAGCTGCTTGGCCGGCGTCACTGTGCTCTTCCACGTCCTCCCAAAGAAGTGTCGGTAGGTGACATCAAAGAGGGACACGCGCAGATGACATTCAATCTCTGACGATACCACCTCCGGTACTCCCTAGGAGACAGCAGGAAATGAGCCCTGAGGAGCACAAAGCACTGCAGACCACCCTGGAGAATACTGGGTCATTCAACATCCACCCCGATTTCCCTTGGGGAACTACCTCCCCCACAGCCATTGGTCTTGGTGAGCTATAAAACACAAACACACATTGATCAAGATACATTGTGCTCACAAACTGACATGTTGAATTGAAACTTCTTTGTATAGGTACTTAGAGGTTATTAATCTTACATTTTTAAATAAAAATGAAACAAAAACACAATGCTCCACCTTTCCCTAGCTGATCAAGCCTTAAAGCCTCCTGAAACAGACAAAGCTTAAAATATACCAGAGCCACCAAGACAGAAGAGGACCTGTGCCAGAATGCAGGCCAGGAGCTGCTGACAGCGACTCTTATCACTAGGTGGAGCCAAAAGGTAAGAGAGAACAAGTCCAGGTGACATCATAGATACCCTGGATCAAACCATACCTGAAGCTTATTGTAACAGTGGATTTGTCCATTACATGGCCTAATAAATCACCACCAGGCCATTTGGGGTGTATTTACAAACAAATAAACTCTTCCTGATAGATTCAGAAGCTCCTAAGTCTTCAATTTGCCAAAATTATTCTGGAGTGGTATTAACAAAGGAAAAGCAGATCTTTGAGACTTGAGAGACCCTGGCTATACACACCCACTGGGCAACCATATAGACAAAGCCTTTCCCTGCAGCTTTACCTCCAGTTCGTTACTGGGCATGACCTGTAATGGCCCAGTCCTTACCTGAGACAGAGCCCTGTGCTGTTCTCTCATTCACTCACTTAACATTCACCAGCCATCTACTCTCTGAATCTACGCTGTGCCAGCACTGTTCCAGGCACTTAAGATACAAGGGGACAAAGGACACAAGATCTCTGTCCTTGTAGGGTCTACAGAAGGAACAGGGCCAGAAGGTACAGTTGGATCTGCCATCTTGAACAAGCCAGGGTTGAGGCTCTGGGAGAGTGACATCTGCGGTCACACTAAAGAGAACACAAGAACCCCAGGACGATGAGCCAGGAAAGGAGAACAGCAAGATCCAGGGCCCTGGGGCAAGAACTTGCTCAGAGACCAAAGAGAAGCGTTCTGATTACTTTTAGCTATGTGAACTGTACTTCCTTATTTCCCATATCCTCCCTAGTCTGGCATCAGCAGCCTCCCTGACAGGTGGAATGGCCCGCAGGGCTAATTCCCAGAGATGGCAAATGGCTTTCCCATGAGAATATCCCTAATTGGCAAAGTCACCAAAGCAGAGATCTCGTCACCCACACGCTCTCCATCTGGCTCTCACGCTCCAGGACTGCCCTGTTCCAGGACCAGAAACAAGGCAGCAAAGGGCAGCACCTGCATTTCAGAGGCCACTACAGTTCTTCAAACTGGCCAGTCCTGGGCCTGCTTACCCTGGAGGGTCACCTTACCCAGAGGGACTCTGTCCAGCCCCTCCCAGGGAACTCCCAGGGAGCCCTGCATGGTCCTGCATGGTCTACCTCCATCCCTTGGGACAGTAATGAGCATCTTTTCAATGACTGCTGTCTCCTGATCTTATGCTTCATCAAGCCTGAAGAGAAATAAAATCCCAGATATTCTTCCAGAGACACACAGGGCTGCAGCAGGCCAAGCGAGGGGAAGGAGCCCAAGAGCTGAGAGCTGAGGGGTGCAGAGCAGTTCCCACAGGCCTCATAGAAGCCAAGGAGAAGCCGGGCTGGCAGGAGAAGCCAGGTGAGACGCGGAGCAGAGCTGGTCTGATCTGATTCAAGGTTTTAAGAAAAAGGCTGTCAATGTGGACGCTAGATCTAAAAGACGCTGGGACATGATGAATTATACAGGACTCTAGTCATTCACACACACTGAGACCAAAGGAGGATACTCTGCGGCTGGGAAGGTGGCTCAGTGGTAGAGCGCTTGCCTTGCATGCATGAGGCCCTGGGTTCGATGCCTCAGCACCACATAAGCAAAAAGAAAAAAGCCAGAAGTGATGCTGTGGCTCAAGTAGTAGAGCGCTAGCCTTGAGTTGAAGAGCTGAGAGACAGCGCCCAGGCCCAGAGTTCAGGCCCCACGACCAGGACACCCCCCCCCGCAAAAAAAAGAGGATACTCTTAGGAGAGGAACACAAAGCACAATGCATATGTGCCTCTGATCATACAAAATAATACTTACTGAAATGAATTCTAAAAAATGGAAACAAAAGGGTTTTTTTTCCTTTTTTACTGTTTTCATTATCTTTTCTTTTCTTTTTGTCTTGTTTGTTTGTATGTCTTTGGGAGAGTAGGGGAGGCACAGAAATGGAAGGACAAAGGGTAAACAAATACAGCAGTGGTACTCAATAAACACCATGTTGAAAATAAACTATACAGCGGGGAATGTGGCTTAGTGGTAGAGTGCCTGCCTATGAAGCCATGAAGCCATCGGTTTGACTCCTCAGTACCACATAAACAGAAAAAGCCTGAAGTGATGCTGTGGCTCAAGTGGCAGAGTGCTAACCTTGAGCAAAAGAAGCTCAGGGACAGTGCCCAGGCCCTGAGTTCAAGCCCCAGGTATGAAAAAAAAGAAAGAAAGAAAGAAAAGAAAAGAAAGAAAGAAAATGAACTATATAACTTGTAGGTGGGGATGGAAGGGAAAAACAGGGAGAGAAGGAAGGGTAACATTGTCCAAAGAGAAATATACTCTTTATCTGACTTGTGTAACTGTAACCTCTGTACATCATCTTTTTTTTTTTTAACAGTCATGGGGCTTGAACTCTGGGCCTGAGCGCTGTCCCTCAGCTCTTCAGCTCAAGGCTAGTACTCTACCCCCTGAGCTACAGCACCCCTTCCAGTTTTCTGGTGGTTAATTGGAGATAAGAGTCTCACGGACTTTCCTGCCAGGGCTGGCTTTGAACCACAATCCTCAGATCTCAGCCTCCTGAGTAGCTAGGATGACAGGTGTGAACCACTGGTGCCCAGCAGAAAAAAAAATATTGTAAAGACTGTTACTATAGTGTAAAGGGTGGGAGTAGAGGCCACCACCTCATCCAGGCAGGAGATGAGGACAGTGCACTGGCCGGCAGGAGACTGGCACTTCGGGGACCTTCCCAAAGGATGAACTGTGTGACTGCAGTACTAGGCTAGACGCAGAATCTGAGGAGCAGAGAGGAGGTGACTAGAATAACAGGCTGGAGACAGAATGGCTGGGGGCTGGGTTTGCCCAGCCTTCCACACACCCAGCTCTAAGTCTCAAGGAGAATTACATGCTGTCTGGAGCACTGGGAGAGGTGGTGGCATCTCCAGGTATGGGAAGGATGGAGCAGTGCAGGTCTGGGGAGCAGGGACAGGAGAACAGAGTTGTTCTAGTCAGTGTTGCCTGGGACACCAGCAAGAAAGACCACTACTTGCTGCCCCAACACAGCTCCCCTTCCCTCTGCCTCACCCTCTACCCTCTACACACGTGCCAGCTCCCCCACCCCAAGGCCAATCAGCCCATGCTCTGCCCTGCTTGGCCTGCTTGCCTTGTATCTCCCAGTGACTGTCCAGCCTGTCCAGTGGCTCCCAGCTGGAGAGTGAGAGTGGCATTCCTGCCATCGGCCTCAGAGCCACCAAGCACTGAGCAGATGCACGGCTGCTGCTCCAGTCCCCTCCCTACTCGCTGTCCTCTGGGAAAGTTATTCCCAGGCACCTTCCAGAGCACCAGGTCGTACCTGCCTCTCCACCTCCAGGTTACTCAGTACCCAGATCTCAGAGAAGTTCCCAAGTCAGTCTCCCCATCAAGACTAAAGAACTCAAGCCCACACTTTTAGTATCTGTGGGATGGCAGGACCTTCTTTCACCCCCAATGTTAGTCATCTGTCTCTTTTCTCATTTTTTTCTCTCCATCCATCTTGCTAGGGGCTTATCAATTTTATTAATTTAAATTTAAAAATCTAACCCCTAACTCCTTTGCTTATTTTCTATTAGCTGTCCTGTCTGTGAAGACATTTGTTATTTCCTTTTTTTTACCTAGTGTCTGTTCTTTATCTAGGTTCCTAAAGAGGAAGCAAAGATTTTACATCTCTCATCTTTTCTAATAAGGCTGTATAAACCTATAAATTCCCTCAAAGGAACGCATTCACTATAGCTAATTTTCAAATTTCATTATTCAATCCAAATTACTCTCCAATTTCTGAATGAGTTCTTTGACCTATGGGTTATTTGGCAGTGTGTTAATTTCCTACTCTATGAGGATTTTCTAGGTCTGTTAATATCGATTTCTAGTTTTAATACCATAAAGCCAGTGGACACAGTTTCTAATTTCAGTTCTTTGAGATTAACTGAGACATTTTTATAGCCTGGCACAGCTGTCTGGGGTTTTGTGGCTCATGTGTGTCTTACTTTTGTTGGTGAGAGCTGGGTTTGAACCCAGTCTTCCCAAAGCATCTTCCAGCTGGAAAGGGGGGAGGGCCAGTAGCCCAGGGCCCTAGGACCCAGCACAGGTCATCCACACCTAGGGACTGCTGTGTCCGCTTGCTCATCATTACCTTGAACTCTGCCTTGTCAGACATAACATGAGGTATGCCTCTTTACATTTAGAACTCAGGACCCATTTTTTTACTTTAAACTTATTTAGGTCTTTATGGTTCAGTAATTTTTTTGTCAACAACATAGAACAGGGTCTTAAATAATAAATTTTAATATGGAACTGAGAACAGGAATTCCACTTGGAGGAATTATTCTACAAATATATGTGAATGTTAAAAAAAAATATGTAAAGGAGGTTATTCTCTGAGGCGGTGTCTGTAACAGAATATACGGGAGAAGTCTAAATGTTCATCCCAAACCCCTCGGTAAATGAGCAATAGCCCATCCACACAGAAAACATGATACCATCTTGAGAAGCATGAAAATGCTTCATGTAATAGGATGAACAATCCACAAGATGTATTACCATTGAAGGGGAAAAAAAAGTCAGGTGCAGAACCAGTTCTAGTCATCTACTATTTACATGGCACGTAAGTATCCATGGA